ATTTTCACATTTTTCTATTTTAGTCTGAGACTATTCCCAACTAAATAGGGCTAAACTGTTTGGGTGCTACCTTCTAGACCAACTTTGTTAAAAATTAGAAGAGGCTCTCGTTTACACTTTGTTCTGTTACGAAATCTCGATTGAATATTAAACAATGCTTATTTTAAATACTATCGATCAATCCACCAACTGATCAATACGTCCTAACAATTTGTTTGTACAAATGGTCTAAGGATGTGCTACAAATTTTCTTGGGATTGGTAAGGGAAATTGGGGTCACACTAGCCCATTGAATGCTCAGATCTCGGGCTATCGACCTCATACACCTTACTGAAATAGATTTTCACATTTTTTTTATTTGAATATAATAAATTTTAATTGCTTAATTGATTGTGATGGTACGAAGGCAAAATATTATAATTTAATGGATCTTAAAATAGATCAACAAAGTCAAATTTATTTAACAAAATATATCTATTACTAAATTTATAATGTATTGGTGGATTGTTAAGGCTACTAACAAGTAGTGAGAGAATTATTTCGAATATTCATAGGCGAAAGTTTAAAAGTAAATTATTGACCTTTATGAATGGATGTTGAAGAATCTCAATATGCACTAGTGTCCTAATATTCTTAATTTAATAAACAAATTATATTATGTATATACTAAAATGCAACCAGAAAGTACTGTTCATAGGAACAGAATAATGACCCTTTAACTAGTTTGTTTTTTTTTTTTTTTTTTTTTTTTTTTTTTTTTTCATAGTTTACTGTTCATAGGAACAGAATAATGACCCTTTAACTAGTTTGTTTTTTTTTTTTTTTTTTTTTTGTATTGTTAATCTTCTATATTACTCTTCTTTAGGCTATGGAAATTAACAAAAATCAATCCATCAGCTCACCCGCGCTTCCTTCCTTTTTTTTTTTTTTTTTTTTTTTTTTTTTGTTATTTCTATATTACTCTTTTAGGCTATGAAATTACAAAATCAATCCATCAGTCACCCGCGTCCTTCTAGAGTTTTCTTCTCCATCTCTATCCAAGCCATCACTAATCGTGCTCTCCCTAAAGTCTTCCACTAGATGCTTCTTCCTAGGGATGATCAAATGCTATGATCCATTGGATATTATGTTCGATCCGATCCATTTAGTAGTGGATCATGTATGGATTTAGAATAAAATTTAATGTAGATATGGATCAGATACGGATATAGCATAATCTCATCCAAATCTGATCCATGAAAGGAAATTTTACTTTTTTCTTTTATTTCTAAAATTGTTGATTGTAATTCTAGATGTATAGTTGCCATTACTATTCTCTTCTTTCTTTATTTTCCATTTATATTTTAAATTATTATCTCCAACTCTTTCACCCTTGTCACCTTTTCCTACTTTTTTCAATCTCTAAAATAAAAAAAAAAAGAATATGAGTTGAACATTTAAGCCACTAGCCTGAATTTTTTTTTGTGCTTTATAATTATTAAAGTCTTTTCTAGTGATTTAGTAATCATAGCATACAATATTTCCAATTATTGCTGGGATTTTTTGTGTTCTCAAGTATAATAAATGATATGAATTTTTATTAAATTATTGTTTTGTTTTAATTTTTCTTTTAAACATAATAAAAAATAGATAATATCTTATTCAACCCGACCAGATCTGACATTCGACCCGAATTCGAGCGGAGTGGATATGGACATGAATAACTAAAAATCTCCGTGGATCGGATATGAATTTTGCATAATCCAATCTGAATCCCATTCAAGATCATCCCTACTTCTTCCTCTAAAACGGAAACCAAATGAATAGTGAACTAACACTTTTAACCAGCTCCTTTTTTTGTATTCCTATTATACCCTTTTCACTTATCGTACGTTTTCATAGATCTCGCGGACTTCATCTTCTCTAGCAAAATCTATAAATAAAATTTCTAGAAGTTTCTTCGCTGATTTTATCCATTAGTGTATTCTGATTTCTTCTTCTTCTCGCTATTTACATATTTTTTATATTTAAATATATAAATATATGAGAATACTATATAGAAAGTTAAGAGAGAGAAAACAAATATCAAAAGTCTGTGATAAAACATTCGGTGTATTGTAAAGAATCTAAAGAGAAGTCGATCTGGGGATAACAACTAATTTTTATGATACTAAGGGAGAAAAAAAAATTGATTTGGTTTGTAAGGATTGTAACAATGGGTAAATCTATATATCTTTGTTTCATTAATCGTATATTGATTAATGGGTCGATTTTAGAATACATGTTTGGCGAAGTGTTTTTTATTTTATAATTAATTTTGTTAGACTGCAAATTTTTTTTAGATGGATTTTCATTGTTTTTTTCAAAAATCATTTATGGGAGATTGTCAGGTTTCTGTCTATATTTTAGCTTTATCGCTTGATGATATCATGAAGAGGAGTCTGGATCTGGTAATTCTCCATAGTGTGGCTTGACTTGGAAAACCAGAATTTGCAAACCATGATGCTATTCCAGAATTTATTTTTTGAAATAAAAGAAGTGTTGGGTCCTCTCTTAATCTTTTTTTTCCAATTGTTTTGGAGATGTTATCGTTTATAGATTTAGTTATGATAATTGCCATACTTTTCTCGATAGTTTAACCACAAGCAGTAGTCGCTTCTATTATTGGAGGTGTAGAAATCAGTAGTGATGCTGTTGAGGTTTTTCTTCTTGGAGCAAGTATAGTTCAGGTAGGCAAGGAATAAGGTTTCTATTATTTTTAGATATGCTATCTTTTTACCTTCCATTTTTCTATTTAAAAAATTCAATTATTTATATAATATATATTGAACTGTATAGGAAATATATCATGTAATTTGGAAGCTCCCAGCAAAGCCCCGTAAATATTTGCTTGTTATAGTACTATGTATAGAACAGTCTAACTAACCAAGCTAATTTGAAGTTATTGACTATTTTATGATAAATACGTTGATTATAATTTTCTCCAATATCTCAAATAATAGTTTAAAAAAGTTAACTAGAATCATTCATTTATATAGTGAGTAATCATGTATATAGCCACTTCACAATTAAATGAATATATAATTACTTTCATGTATATTAAGTGATGAAGAAGTTGTTAAGACATGTGGATGCATCGCACTTTTGATTTCTTTGATAGCCAAACAAATAAATATGCTTCTTAATTTTATAATTTTAATCTAACGGCACTATAAATTTTGATGATGACCCATTTTACCTTTATAGTTACTAGTATTTTTTATGACGTGCGTTGCACGTTGACTATGCTCGGTTTATATTAATTCTTCATACTGATTTAATTTTTTATTTATATAATACTAAAATATAAATTTTTATTTAGATTGAGTGGTTAAATTATATTACACTTTATATATACAGTAAATGTTTTTTTGATTCTATGTTAATGTACTGATTGATATAATTTTTATTATATGTTACTTGCTTTTATTTTATTTTTTAAGAAAAAACCAAATTGATTTATAAAAACCATCATATAGCTTCTATTATATGTTTTATAATTAATTTATATGTTTTTTTAATAACTTTCACTCTAATCTCATATAATAAATAAATATACGTTAACAATAGAATAAGAAAACAATCTAATAAATCAAATTAAATATCTATGTTTTTTAATAACTCTTCACCTCCTAATCTTCATATAATAACATAAATATACGGTTAACAATAAAGGAATAAAGAAAAACAAGCTAATAAATCAAATTAAATATTATAAATAATATAAATTTTTATTTATTTCTTAGGCAATCAAAATCCCAGACAAGCATTTTAAAAAATTATTAAAAATTATTATTCCTTAATAGAAATAGAATTTGAATTATATAAGATATCAATATAACTAATTAAATTCAGGATATTTATATTTAAAAATAATAATTTTTTATCTTATTTTTTAGCTAACCAAATTAGAGTGCAATTTGTAATTAAAAAAAATTTAATCATTACCCTTTTTAAATCAAATCTAAATCATCTAGATATATTTTAAAATAAATTAAAAATATATACAAATTTTCAAATGCCTCATTTACATATATTATTTAAAATAATAATGTTGATGCTAAATTATAAATTATAATAATGATAGATTATTAAAAATTATTAAATCACTATTAATAATTTACATAATAATATAATGAAATGAAATATAATTAGACACAATAAGATAATAATAACAAAAATTTAAAATTTTGAAATGCTTAATTATATATATTTATTTATCTATTAAAAAGTCAAAAAAACATCTAGTCCAATTATATATATATATATATACATATATATATATACATATCTATATATATACTATATATATATATATACATATATATATATGTTTTTATAGCGATTAAAATTTTTTAATTGGTTTTAAAACTAATGTTTACTTTTAGGTGATAATCTTAAATTTCACAAGGATAAATATCGGCAATCCCATTCACTTCCGCTCTATGAAGACCCCTTCATCCCACGTAATAATAGTATAGTAATAGATAGATTAAATTTTGATCATATTATACAGTTTTCCCGACATCAAGCAATAATTTTTAAATTTTTATTCTTTGAGAGGAAATATCCGATTTAAAAATGTGGTTAATATTAACTTTTAAAATAATAATTTTTACCATTTTTCAAACTATTTTTACATTGTCACGACCCATTTCCATGGGCGGACCGGCACTAGGGCCCAGGGTTAAGCTTATAGGCCCCCCGAGTGCCCGTAGTTAAGCCTGGAACACTACAAATTTTGCTATTCTCAATAAAAATTTTAAACATACAAAATTTCGCCCTGCTTACAATACACTATCAGTTATAATACAGGCTTTCCACAGAATTATTCCATCTACAATAATACACAACTTAAAAGTATACAAGTTCTATAACTGCGGAGTTTATGACGGATGGTATACATATAAGTCTTTCGGAACATTTTATCTATTTTTTATCTATTTAATTGATCAATACTAAAATTAGTGAATTTCTTTTTTAACGGTGAAGAGCAGAGTTATAGCTGGGATTTAGAAAATGCTACTTCCTGAAAGATTTGAACAAAAGAGATGTGAGAGTTTATTAATGAATCATAATTATTGCACAACACACGCATTCACACAATTGTATAAATATATCAACCTAGTCATCCGACTAAGTATATGCTCACACAGTCAGTCACACAAATGGCATATCACCAGCACTCACAATTATTAACATCTTCATATAATCACATCACGTGGAAATTAATCAGTGATTAGTCAAGTGGAGTCACCGAAACCCCCGGATGAGCCGGTCCTTCCCACATTGGCTCATTCCTCCACATGATGCACCAGGGAGCCGATCCCCCATACGGCCGACCGGTCTAATCCTCACTTGCCAAGCCCTCTCATTATTTTCCATATCTCTCTTTTCTTTTCCATACCAACAGGAGGCAACCCGGTCGTCTCCATCCAAAAATTCCTTAGATCATCAGGCGCACTCACAACAGGCAAGCCAACCAAATGCGGGCTGCGATCAAATCTAGATTATCCGGTGCGCCCCAATAAAGAAGCCAACCTGTGGTTCAACAGTTAACAGGTAACGGTAGTGCACACGGGGCGCGATCTCCGCATTTACCTAACGAGAAAACAGAATCAGGATCAAGATCCGTAGGTAAACAGAAACAGTCTCACAAACCCAGGTTGACCCACTTCATCCCAATTCCACACACAACAAAGCAAGGGGCATTGTCACAATCCCACAACTAATTCAAGCATTTCAATTAAGTGCAGAAATATTTTTCAAAGTTAGAAACATCGAAATGCAATTTGCACAATTAGAAAATTCATACTCAAATGCAATTAAATAAATATCATTAACAATAAACAACAATGATAGAATAAATAATAATAATTGGGAATAAAACAATAAACAATGACAATAAATAAGTAATTGAATTAATTAAGTAATAAGTGATGATAGAAAATAATTAGAATATTTTTATTTACTATGTATTTAAGTTATAGAATTATTCTAAATAAACTTTATTACATTTTATATTGTAGCCTAAGACTAGTCTAAGTTCTATTGAAAATGTTCCGGCGCGGTGCTCAAGCGGCGAGGCAGCATCTCCCCTAAAAATTGGCTATTTACCATATTCAAATATTCATTAATAATATACGTAACAATCATTCAATCACACAGGCCCATCCATCGGGCGCATCAACCAATTTAAACACCCGTTTCCTCCTTAAATAGCAATGTCACACTCAACCATTAAATTGTACAATTTAAAGTAACTTTTCCAACCTGGTCCAACTATATTATCAAACCATTCTTTGCCCTTAAGATGTCAACAACGTCACTTAACATTTATAAATTTCTAAACTAGCTATTTAAAACAACGATGGTTCAATAAATTACAATTTAATAAAGGCATCTTCTTAAGTAACCCAATTTAACAACTTAATATATACTCAATTTAAAGCTTTCATGAATCTTTTCTCCATCTTGACATAAAAATTCCCTTTCTAGATATAACCAATTACTAATCACTTATAAAAACCTTTGGAAAATATATGTACGTCCATTATTACATTAGTTTATATATAAAATGGTATCAATTATCTGCAATAGCTACTGCCCATTAAACACTTAGGACTAGGTTCTCCCTTGCTTAAACTTATATACTATGCTTACCGCACTAAGAATTTAATTCACGACTTCATTTGGTTTATAGTTCAACAATAGCTCAACCAATTAACAATATTGGTTGCTGCCACCCTCACGCCATACTTATTTCTAAACTAAAATCTCCTTATTCATGCTTACCCATTAAATTAGCTATTAATTCAGACTAAATTAAAAAAAAACCAAATTCCCTCAAAGAATGCATAAACAATAAAAGCTAGGGTCTAAATTTTCCGCAATAGCTTAATTTATGCTTCAAATCTTTCATTTTTAAATCAAAATTTCCTCAATGGTCTAGCAAATATAGTATATATATCCTATTTAACTTATCTTTATCTAAAACTTAGACTGTAGTTCCCATTAATAATATTTATCAAAATTTCTTAGTTAATTTGCATAACAGTAGCTAAAAATTTCCATTTCTATATCATCTCTCCTAATCATGATCAAAATTCATGAAATGTATTGAAAAGGATTGAAAGTTAATTTACCTGGCTACAAAATGCATCGGAAGTTGAATAATTTCCGGTTCAAGTCATCGGTGGTAACCCAAATACCCAAAATCCGGCTCTGCCGGCGTTAGCTTGATCGGAACTGACGAAAACAGTGGCCGGCGAAGCTTTTAGCGACAAGGGAAGGGTCTAATCGGCCGGTCTTTAGTTGGTCTTGCCGGAGAAGCAGAGGGTAGCGCTGAAGGAGTCTGCCAATCGAAGTGAAATCGCAGCTCACTCTTGCTGCGCTCGCCGGAAGAGGAGAGAGAAGATGAACGGCGAAGGGACGGAGCAAGGAGCTCAGGTCGGCGTGACTCGCACTCAGGTGCCCGGAATCGCAGGTGGAGCTCCAATCGCGATTACACAGCCTCCTGCTTCTCTTTGACTTGCGCTGAAATCGAACGGAAAGTCGGAGAGAGGGAGAGAGACCGGAGATGCTGCGGTGAGGAGGCGGCAGCGGCAGGGAGGCGATGGTCTCAGGTGATCAGAAAAAAGGGGGGGTAAGGGGGAGGGGAGTCTGTCGCTGTAAAAGAGAGGGAGGAGGGATAAAATGGCCAAACAGTAATTTTGCAATCTTCTAGCGTTTCTAGAGTGATTTCGGTCCGATTTGGTTCCGGTTCCAAATCGTGGATTTTGTTTGATTTTAATTGGTTTATGGGTTTCCTAAATAGGTTTGGGGTTTGTAATTAGTTTATATTGGTTAAGAGGTTTGGTTTAACATATATAAAAATGTATATCTTAATTTTTGTTAAATAAATTCACAATGGATTAATTTAATTATTTTACATATAATAACGTTCTATAATATCATTGGCTTAGAATTAATAATTAAATTTTTAAATGAAAAATTTTGAAAATAAAATTTCGCATTGTTTCATTAAGCATTTTAAAATTTTAAATTTTATCTTTACTAAATTTATTTTTTTTCGGGTCGTTTCATTAATATGCATTTAATCAATTAATAAATTGATTTTACAAGATAAAATATTGAATTGGTGCAATCTTATAAATTGAATTTTAAACCAGTCCAAATAAAAACTACAGGTGCCATTTTTTCCCTCATAAATATTGTCATAGGCAATTATATACAATATCTAAATGGATCCATTTTTGGGCTATTATGGGGCAAATTGAGCTCGAATCAAAGCATATACAGAAGGGAAATTTCCAAGAACAAAGGGCGGGGAAAGCTGATTTAGTATAAATAGGGTCTAAATAGATTAGCACACTCAAAAAACTTTCGGACACGATACACAGAAATACAACTGCGCAACCCATTCTCTGAAGCTCCTGATGAGCAATTTTTAGCATAGTTTCATCGGAAGTGCACTAAGAAACTAATAAATACTAATATTCTTGTTTGGATTCATTACAATCACTCAATGCTTATTTGGTACCAATATATTCAAACTCTACTTTCTATACTATCTCTCAACGTTCATTTTCTATATAATGAGACTGATACTATATCTTTTATGCATTTTCATAAATATTAATGGTTAATCTGTTTATTTTATTCGTGCTTTTACTTTGTTTCGTAAATGCATGGTTGTAATTTTATTCCAAGACCAACGTATTTCTGGATTTGGAGCAGTTTTTGAAGATCAAAAGGATTGTTATTTGCGGGCTTTATAAGGCCGATTTAATATCTTTGGTGATTCATTGTTGGTGGAGGCCATGGCTATGAGAGCAACTCTTCAATGAATTGATACTCATACGAATGGTTTTGGATGTCTATTTTCAGATTTCCATGTGGTGGTCTATGCTACTCATTCCTCTACATTCTGAATTTGGTATTATCCTCTATGACTGTAAACAGATTTTCAGACGTTTGAAATAATGTTTTAATTCAATTGATTCGTAGACAAGTTAATATAGATGTTGATAGTTTGGCAAGGCCATCCTACCAATATGCTAGTCTAGTTATTTGCGATTCAATGCCCAATTGTTTAATCTCTTCTTATCATGATTAATGGAATGTTTTTCCTTTTCAAAAAAAAAAAAAAAAAATACATATTGTGGCTCAGTTGGTAATGCAGGCTAGGCATATGGCAAGAGCTTTCGGATTCGATTCCATTAAATACATCTGTAGAGAGGGGCGAAAAGTCTTAACTGTGACTAAGCCAGAGCCATTATGAGGTCTCTGGTAATAGGATCCAGATACCGATATTTTATACCAAAAAAAAAAAAAAAAATTTGTGGCTGTTAGATTCCTATCATATTAGAATAGCCCAAATTTTATGATATTTGCAATGTCACTGTATTTTGACGTTTTTGTCAATTTCACCCTAATCTTGACCTTATGTAGGAATAACACTCTCAACACTCTATTATTATTTTTAATTTTTAAATTTTTTCTTTTATTGATAATTAGTAATATTTAAAAATTAATTATTTGATATATGAACTCTTTTTAAAAAAATTAGAATATATATTATTATGGTTTGATTTTAATATAAATTTTAAAATAATTATAAAATCTAAAACAAATCTAGTATCAATTTATATGACTCCTAAACTATTAGAAACTGTAACATCCTTTATCAAAATGAATATAAGAAATAATTATGTTCTATTTTTTTTAAAAAAAAAAGCATTCATGTATCAAAAATTTAAATTTCAAATATTATTTATTATCAATGAAAGAAATAATATAAAAATAATAATAATAATAATAATAGATATTGACCATATTATTAATTCAAATTACTTCATTGACACAAATGTATTAAGTTAATCCAAGTCCAAGGTTAAAAGTGAACCTATTTTTTATTTATAATTTAAGTTCTAATTATAATTTAGGGTGTTAACAAAATGTCAAAGTTTAAAGTGAAATTGGTATAAAAGTTAAATTAAAGTGAAATTGCAACAAAAAGTTAAAATTCAGAGTGAAATTGACATAAGGTCAAATTGGAGAGAAATTGAAATAAAATCTAAAGTTGAGGGTGAAACAATATATTAAGCGTCCTTTTTTTAATACAGTGGGTAAGTAATACGGCTACCATAGCCAAAATAATTATCGTTATCAATTCAGTTTGTGACTACTTCATTATATAAAAATAGAATGAAGTATATAAGAAGTAGCATTACAAATAACTTGTAAAACAAAGTGTAATACAAATTAACCACTTATATTTATTTTAGTCTAGACAAAAACTTATGCTTTAATATTATATAGATAAGAAAATTAAACGAACACAAAAAATGAGTATATAACGAGCATAGTCAATGTGTAATATACGTCATAAAAAAATTCAAGTATATATAAAATGAGAACGAGTGGAGAGAATATTGAGAGTATCAAAAATGCTCCTACTAAGTTTATAGATCGATAAAAATATCATTAAAGATTTTAATTTGATTGGATGAAAAAAAAAAAAGATAATCTAATTTTGATTTCTTATATTAATTTCATATTTAAATCTAAACTCTATTGGATAAAGCAAGAAATTATATTATATACTATATAAGGTATATATTAAATATAGTAAGAAAATAACATCTTTAAAGATTCTAATTTTATTAGTTGAAAAAATAAAGATAATTTAATTTTGATTGGTATACTAATTTTCTATTTAAATCTAAATTTTATTCGATAAAATAAGAAATTATATTATATACTAAATAAGGTATATATCAAATATGATAAAAATAAAATATTTTTAAAAATTTTAATTTTATTAGATTAAAAAAAGATTTTAATTTTATTATAATTAAAAAGATTTTAATTTAATTTAGTTTGAAAAAATAAAAATTAATCTAATCTTGCATTCGATTTATATATTATACTATATAAAATATATATTAAATATAATATGTTTAATTATTATTTTTTAATAAATTTTTACTTTTATTGGTTATGATTATTTCCTACTAGTAACTTATTCTAAAAAAAATAAATGTAATTTTTATTATTTATTACGGAATATATTATAATATTATTATTTGATATAAAATAGTAAATAAAATTCACTAAAAATATATATATACCACGTTAAATTACCAAATCATATAATATTTGAAATGATTTTTTTCTCTAAAAAAGCAGCCATAATATTAATTATATGCTGATTGACTTTGGCAAAAAGTAAAAAAAAAATACCAAAATTATAAGTGATACTTTAAAGTACTCATTATTATAATAATTATTTTTAATCTAATATAAATTTATCACCTTTTAGTAATCGACAAGGTTTATGATATTACATTATATACGAAAAAATTAAATTAATTAAATTTATATTGTTAGAAAAAATTTAAAGTGACTAATAAATAATCTTTTTTCATGAAAATCTGGTTATCAAGTTATAATAATATTTTATTAATATAAGATTGAACTTTTTATTTGATTATTTCATAAAATGCTCTCTTTTTTATTTTTGTAAATGCTTTTAGATTTTTAGTAATACTAATCTTTTTTACGACGTGCATTGTACATTGACAATGCTCATTATATTTTCATTTTTTATACTCTTTTAATTTTTTTAATTATATAATATTAAAGCATAAGTTTTTGTTTAGATTAAAATAAATATAATTAGTTAATTTGTATTAGACTTTGCCGTATAAGTTACTTACAATGTTATTTCTTATGTACTTGATTCTATTTTTATATAATGAAGCGATATCAAAATAAAGTTCAATCCAGTACTTATACCTAATCCTTCAATCCCTAATTTATAAATACAAATTCTTAAAACCCTGATAGTACTTAAAAAGAAAATCAAGTTATCACTCAATCCCCAGCTCTTGCCCTCAATCCCAAATCAGTATCTATGTACAGCTATAATGAAAAATAATAATAAATTTTTTTTGGTAGGTAAAAGAAAAGAAATGAGAAGATGATCCGAATTAATAACGGTAATCATTTTTGGCTATAGTGATAATATTATTTACCTAGTGTATTAGAGAAAATAATATATGAACATATGCACAAACTCTTGAAACCCCAAAAAATGACCTAAAACAGAAATATATAGTTCTAGTTTTTTTTTCAATTTAATAAACACTATTTCTTTCAAGTCAAATATATTTAGAATATAAAAAAAATATATCAAGAAAATTAAAAATGCTTAATCAAGAGGTCATCTATTTATTGCAAAGGAGATATAAATCTCTTACTAAATTACAGTGATTGTGATTACAAATTAATTCAATAACGAAAAAATAAATTTTTATTAAGAATAAAACTCTTTTAAGAATTCACTCAATATATAACAAGAAATAAATTATATTAAAAAAATTATCAATTTGAATTTCAAAAATAACTCTGAAAATGCTATAATTTAATTAAAGTTGATTTTGATGGACAAAAAAAAAGTCAAGTCAATAAATGAAAATTACAAAGCAAAAAAAAGTCAAGTCAATAAATGAAAATTACAAAGCAAATCATGCTAGAATCAAATATTGGTCAGTTAACGAGTTTATTTGAGTATTTTGTTTCTCTATTGTGCTAAGTTTGCAAATTTAAAATAAATAAATAAGTTAATTAAGTAATAAAAAAAAGATTATATAAA